GAGGACCAGTTACGGGGCACACCAATTGTTCCTTGTGAGCCCTGTGCTGGGTTGAAATCAGCCTACTTTTCCAGTCTTTACATTCCACTGTCTAGGATGTGCTGACGCCAAACAAGAGTAATAAATTCTAAGGAAAGCTTACATCACACACACACACACACACACACACACACACAGAACTTAGAAGTTTGGGAGCACAAGCAGTGTTAAACACACACTAACACCAACTTGATTTGCATTGGGAATGAAAGCTTGAGGAGAGTTTAGGCTCCAGCCTTGGAAAAGCGAGAGAAAAGCATGGCAGTTGCAGCCTCTTTAACCTCCAGTGATTTATTGGCCCTCAGCCAAGTTATCAGGGGAATCTAATTCTTCTTTATTATTCAAATAAACCACACTTGGCACCATGGTTCCCTTTCAGAATAGCTGCACAAATAGACTGAGCTCTGTCATTTATTTGACCTTGTACTTGTGTGCTGTAGCTATAATTTTATTTGCCATTCTATACAACCAACACGCAGGAATCTAAAATATGGAGATGAATGGCAGAATGGGGAAAGGAGTTTATGGTAAACATACATCTGCACGGGTTAAAAAAAAAATTGTTGATGTGTTTTCACCTTCACCTCTTTCAGGTTTTATCCCCATGGCTACTCTACCCTAAGCTGTCTTAGACTTGGCCAATTGGTTGCTGCCTAGAGTTTCCTTCTAGCCATGGCTTGTAGGTGGGTGGGGCATAGGAAGGTAAAGCGGAGTGGCCAGAGTCTATTGCAGGAGAGCCTTCAGCTGATGGGTGAGATGTCCTAGTCCTTAGGAAGCACTCATTTTCAGATTTCTAGTTTGCTCCATAACCCATTTTGTGGTACACAGGATATTTGGTTAATGGGAAAGCACTTTGTTTGCCCAGGCATCTTCATCTCCCAAATAAGAGGGTATTTTCTAGAAGCTGTGAGTCCACTTTTATCTCCCAATCCACTGAGACCCATGTCCTCTTTCTCTTATGTCTGTGTTGGCCATGGGTAGCTCTGCTGTACATACGAACTCCATAGTAAGCGAATCGGTTTGCCATAATCCTCATGCTAGCCTATAAAGAGTCCTATGTGGCATTTACTTTCAGATTTTAGTTTTGGAAAATCTTTACTTTCTTTGGGAAACATCATTTTCTTTTTGTTGATGGTTGACTGTATTTCCCCTTTCGCTTTGGTTGCCAGGAAGCACACAGCTAAAACTAAAGCTTTATTAAACCACTTCTATGGGACATTTAAAGCATACATTTGGGGTTTTCCACCCCTGTGGTAACAGATTATGCAGGTTTATTTCTCTTCTTTCCTTATTCTATTTTGCCATTATTTTTATTGCATACATTTATCTTAAACCTTCTTTTTGATAGAAGACATATAGCCAACACATAAATATTTCCACAAGCTTTAACTCTGGTATCAACTACAAATGCTTTCTGTTTACCATGTGATGGCTTTTTTGGATTTTTTGGTGAGAATGCTCCTTCTGTTTTGGAAGCAACTTCATAAAAACTGGCTCCATAGAATTGCTACATGTTTAGCACTGGGGAAACCATTCTGTTTTCTTTCTTCATTTGCAGCCCTGCCAATTCCATTAGGGCAGGAGCAGGGCTGTTTCCACCAGTTCTAGATGCATTGCCAGGCACACAGCACTCAATCTCTATGCAAACCAAAATGAGCATTGCTAGGTGGGGCCCCTCTTTCAGGGGGAGGCCTTTATCTATCATCTATATATCTATCATCTTTCAATCATCTATCATCTTTCAATCATCAATCAATCAATCTGTCTATCTATCATCTATCTCTGTCTAGATATCTATCATCTTTCAATCAATCATCTATCTATCTATCTATCCATCTTTTTTCTTTCTTTCTACGTACCTATGTACCTACCTACCTACCTACTTATCTGGCAAGGCCAACCCTCCCTCCACCGCCCAGGCCAGTCCCATCATTACAAAGCTACAAGAATACTTTGTACAGAGTGGCCAACATGCCCAAGGTTTAGATACTAGATAATTGAGAAGGAACCCTGCTTTGCCTTCTGTACCCAGGCTGTCCCACAATACTCACTGGAAGTCCCTCCCTTTGCCTTTCTCATGTACAAAAAGACACCTCTAATTCTCTTCTAAACACAAGCCATTGTAAAGCCACCACATGGTGAGGAGGCAGGAATATCATGTGATTAAAAATGCAGATGCAGCCATGTTGTTTTTAGCGACACAGACATGTTCTCATGCCCACAGCCATTTCCCTGAGGAAGTCTTTGGGATAGATTCACACACTGTAGCAAATCTACGTGGAATGGGAAGTATGCCTTCTCCTTGTCTAGACTTTCATACATTAACAACTTTGGCTTCAAACATTTGGTTGCATCTAATGTTTCTGTACAGCTGTTTGGGCATCTGTGGCGTGTGTGTGCTGGAAGAGCAAATGCTTAGAGCCTATTTTCTTTGGATGCCACCCCTGAATACCTTGCACCTCAGTTCTGCAAGAGGGAGTTAAAAGTACCTGGGAAGGGTTACAGCTTAGGAACCTTTATCACCCAGTTCCAATGCAGAACCAGCTGCTTTGAAAACCTTCCCAGAATTCAGGAGAGGCCTCCCTGTTATGGTTTATGCACTTAAATCACACGCAATGTTATTTTAATGTCAACCAAAAATTTTCCTTAGACTTCTGTTCTAAACCCAGCTAAGTTGATAAGGACAAAAAAAAAAAAAAAAAAAAAAAAAAAAAAAATCACCCTCTACCTCATTTGACCCTCATCTAGTAGTGATGTATTGCTTCAAAATTCATTAGTCTATGATCCTCTTCCTGGGCATGCCTGCTGCTGCCTACACTGCAGCACCCAGAGGAAATGGCCAGGCATATCACGGCCTGGGTCTGCCTCCGGAAGTCAGCCCTCTGCCTCCTGGTGCCCACTCAAACCACCATCACAGAAAGAGGAGTGGCTGGCCTCGGGGCAGGTGCCAGACACTGGGACGTTTTTACATAACAGATTTAGAATGTGCCATGATTTGCTTCTGATTTTAAGAAAAGAGTGCCTTCAGTCTTGTAGCCGAGATGCAGAGAAAGAAAGGGGAAACCAGCACAGGGTTAAAGCCAAATTTTCCTTGAACAGATGATATTTCAGATGGCCACACTATTCCAGACGCATCAATTTCCTTGAAAATCCAATCCATATATGTGCATATGCTGTGCTGGCAGGAGTACTGCCTGAAATGGCCAAAACCCAAGAGCTAATATTCTTTTGGCCAGAATAATGCAATTATTATTTTCCTAGCTATCAGTCTACGCATACAGAGCCATCTGTTATGCAAAGCAAACATACACATCTCAATTACAGAAAATGCAGTTGCCTTGACAGAATTTGGACTACACCACTAACCAGGACCGTAAAATGTGTTTGCAGCTAGTATATAATGGATGCTTTTCAGGGGTTCCCTAATTAGCATTTACCTGCTTAAACTAATTATTCATCCTTCTTCTTTACTGGCTTATTAAACTCTGCTGGATATACATAAAAAAACATGAGTACTGCATCAGAAAATCACAACACTGGGTTCCCAGCCCTACCTTGTGTTAACAATACAGGGGAATACCCTATTTGGAATTGGAGATTTCCGGACAGATTAAGATGAGGCTTAAAACCTATCAGATAGTATAACAAAGGAGCAATCTCAGGGACACATAAGAGAATGCACACTGAGTTAACACCACTCTTTCCTGTCTCCTGATTTTGTAAGAGTCCACAAGAAATTGGTGTATACACTACAGTCAAGAGCACACATGTTCTCCAAGGAAGGGCTCATGATTGCATTCCCCATTTGGAATCTCAACAGCAAATAATCAAATTTGGCAGGGTTTCTGCTCCTTCCCCAGCCCTCCTCAAACAGCAAATCTCTCTATTATTTCCCAATGTCTTCCTTGATTTAGCTGTCTCCCAGTAAGCCTGCTAACAGCCAGAAGGTTCCGGCCAAGCTGGATGTGTCCTTTGAGCTGTGTCAACCTTCAGAAACTCTGAGTCTGGGTGGAACCTGCTTATGAGAAGACCAGAGATGCTTATCTCCATCGTTAGCCTGGAGGCAGCTGAGGGAGAGGTAGCTTACCCAGCCTTGGCAGAGCATCACACACATACAAAACCTTCCTGTGGAGGCTGCAGGACCCTTTCCCAGCCACCACACGAAAAGGGTCAAACCCAGCCAATCACCTGTACCAGAACAGATACCCGGGTGTTGGGTGCTTTCATGGCAAAAACATCTGGATAATTGGCTGAATGGAAGGCTTTATTTCAGGATAGGCTGGCAAGATGTAGATGTAGCCTGAGCCTCAGGATGCAGTAGGACTGAAGTGTTTGTGTTTCTGGAGAAAACCAAGGACTCCGTCCCTCTCCTTACAAGCCTCTGCAATCTCTTCTTTTACCCCCTGACTAACACATGCGAACAATTAAATGGCAAACCATGAAAGGCACCTTTATTTTATGAAATTGTCTTCCAGCATCAGGCAGATTTTGCCAAGGCAGAGTACCCTTTCCTGGCAGGAACCCCCCCTGCAACACATTTTAATGGTGTCTCTCAGCATTTCTTGACTCCAAATGACTCCTGCCATTGTGTCAGCTCCCAAGATAGCGCAGGGCACTCCATAAACATCCAGTAATAGGACACAAGGGAAGCACTATTAGTGTGTCCCTCTCCTACTGGGCACTGGGGTTTCAAAGTTCAAAACAACCACAGGAGAAACTTCATTTGTTCTCAATAAATTAATAATGATCCTTGGGGGGGGGGGATAGGGTAGGGAGGAGAACTCAAGTTTATTCTGAAAGCCCAACACACACAGGCTTCTCTGACTTAGAAGATCCAGGTAGAGGCCCGTAAAGAATAAATTACACAATCCACGCTAAACAGAAGACCTCTTTAGAAGGAAAAACAGTGGACAGAGCGAAACTTTATACTCAGTGCTAAGAATCCAAATTGTTCAACTTACTTGTGAGAGGCCTAGGTAGATAGAGACGGTTTCGGAAATGTACAAAAATTTTCCTTCTTGATTTAGTGCAAATACGAAGCCATCCAGGGACTGTAAGAAAAAAAATATAAATATGTTAATACATATACACAGAGATACTTAGTAATAAAGCAACAAATGAATTGAAGCCATTTTTTTTCTTCATGTGTAATAAAAGTCCTAAGTTCATTTCCATTGTCTTATATGAATGAATGAATGGGCTACAGACCCCAAGATCTTGTCTATTTCAGAGACTCCTTCATGCCTTTGTCATTTTGACCAAGATGCATTCTGTGCGTGTATAACATAAGGTCATGTTGATTTTATGAGATACTGCCTTTATTTGGGGGTTATCCAGTGGTAACTGATATTAAATCAGCAAGCTCCCTTGCTAAGGGATAGAAACTAATGGAATGACAAGGGAAAGACTTCTACATCATTATTTGATTGATATGAATTTGCTAATATATCAATTAATAAAGGATGTTTTCTACACACTGGGCATCAATCACAGTAAAGACAATAGGAAGGGTTGGTGAGTTGTGGGCAAGTGTGTAAGGGCTGAAAATCTCATACACCATGAACTGCCTTGCATTGGGACAGGCTGACTTTATATTGTAGCCCCTGGGAACCAAAACAGAAAAAAAAAACACTAACAAAAGCTGGAAAGAATAAAAGTTTCAACAGTGTCATTGGGCACTTAGAAGCCTCTTGGTGAGGGCTGCAGTTCTTGTTTGGTTTGGCCAATGTTGGACGCCATCATGGGATCCAACTACACACACAACTCAGATCAGGAATAGTCTGCTTCAAGTCCTTGCCATCAAATGCATTTCATCCCTTCCACCATCACAGCTGTCACTTTGTGTTAGTCATCTTTACCAGGGTGGGCTGCAGAAGTCCACACAAGGAAAGAAGGTTTAAATCTTAGTGATCTTAATTAACAAAGGCTGTGATTTCCAAAATTCAGAAGTTTTATGTCTGGAACAAGGTATGTGGAAACACTAAAGACATACTTTTATAAATACAGGAAGTTGGAGTGAAGTCATAGAAGTAAAAATATGCATTCTTGCAAATCTCAACAATAAAGGTTGGTTTACTTGAACACTGGGGAAAATGTCACCTGTGTCTTCAGATTCTGTGGTTGAAATGTGTCCCAAGGATCTTGAGACAGAAACTTATTTTCCAGGGCAACCGTGTGAGTGGGACCTTCAGGGGTGGTTAGGGCAAGAGACTGCTGCCCTGATGTATGCTCCAGTGCTGCTCTTGCTGATGTGGGCCAGTTATCTGAGGAGCAGCTTCCCCTGAGGACGAGCTTAGCCCTGTTTCCCTGCCCTCTCTCTGCAGAGCTCTCTTGACTTCTGTCTTCTGTCATGCATTGAAGGCCCTGACTAAATGCAAGCCTGGGGTTTCCCACCTCCAACAATGTGAGAAATATCTAGTCTCTGATATTCTGTCCAAGCATCACAGAATATGGAAATACAACACACATACATTTACATATCGGTGTGAAATGTGGATTTCTATGTTTTCTGACCCATTTTAAACACCTCCCTACAATTCTTAGGAACTGTGGATACCCCAAACCCTGTTCTCTAATTTAGTGCATTCAGCACAATGCATTGTTTTCCAGAAAGCAGATTACCCAATGGGCAAATCGGCACACAGCGATGTCAACAGTTCACGTCGATTCTATAGCGTGCAGTGAGATGCCTACATGTACCTTCTGTTAATTTCCTCACATAGCTTATGGAGTAACTATATCATCTCAATTCTCCACACAGTGACACTAAAAAACTTAGTGAAGTTACACAACAAGCCCATCTTGCTTTGGAGGTTTGGATCTGAATCCTGACAGGTCAGTGATTTTTCACTGAAATACTATTTATATGATAGGAGTAGATTAATGAAAAGCTAAACAGTTAGAGTGTTTTTGAAGTTATTTATATGGAGGGTTCCACAAATTGTTCAGATTATAAACCCAAATCACTAGGGGTCAAAGACAGTAAGGGAGTAGATTGACAGGAAAGTTCCCGAGCCACCTCTATACCCCATCAATAGGTCACCTCTGCTCTGTGGATTTCCGCCCAAATCAGCTGAGAAACTAAGAGATGTGGGCTTCTTGCCATTGACAAAATGACCACAATTACCGGGTCAGGCTCGACCTTCAATGTTAGTGCTGTCTGATATCCCACACACAGGCATCTGGTGGGCCTGGCTAAGTACAAGATGATGGTTCTACAGGGAGAAAATGCTTCTTCCCTCAAACAAGGTAAGGATCTTGCTTCTCCACATTGTCACTTCATGTCGTATAACTCTGGTAGACAATGTTTCCCCTGGGAAGGGGGCTTTGCTAGATTTACCATTCAACCAAGTAGCTAGGACCCGATTGACAGAGAGAGCCATGAAGGCCATCTTTTCAAACTGCAGCATGCTTCAGCAAGTGAGAGTGGAGGACATCACGAGACAGTAAGGTGACAGCCAGAAGACTGGCGAGCAAAGGATAGGTGGAGCTGGCCTGAAGATAACTCCTTGTAAAGGAAACCCTCATTTCACAGGTGAGGAACCCGAGGCATATAGGGGCTATCTGGCTGGATGAGGTAAGATAGACAATTAGCTGTTGAGTTAGGATGAAGCCTTGTGCTGCCACGATGTTAGAGGGTTGACAACGGTTGGCATAGGACGGGAATGAACTTCTCAAGAGTGGGCAGTGTCTTATGTAAGTTCCTCTAATCAGAAATGAGCAAGTGCTCCATGCAGACTTACTGAGCCCAGCTCTACCCCCGGCTCAGTGCTCTTCCCCTGATGATACATATTTTATGTGACTTCCCGAGAGTCCTGTTCACAGCTTTGTTAGAGTACCAAACATTTGTATGCCTCAGATTTGTATCAGCTATGCCTGTCTGGGGTAGATGCCTCAGCCCTTCTCTCTCCAGCTCCCTTTCACTTTCTTCATGACTTGTTTTAGAGTTTTGTTAAGGACAGGGACTTACTCTGGTTCCCAGACTTACTCTGTAGCCTAGAGTGGTTTCACACTATCAGCAATCCTCCTGCCTTAACCTTCTCAGTGCTTGGGTTTTAGCAATGTTTTTACAACATCCAGCTCTGAGTGGATTGTTTGTTTTTTGGGGGAGTCTTCCTTGAGCACCTAGTGCCTGTCCCGAAGAGATGTCAATGCCACATCCACATAGCCCTCCCTTTCCCATTAAAGAAGTATGTCTTATGACACTAATTCCTACCTGTGTACTTACTACAGTGTAAGAGGAGGAGTGGGTACCATAGGGTGGCTGAACGATGAAGTGGGACCCATCTAATAACTGGCCATTTCTCTATAGTGAAAATGAAAGCTTTGGCACATCTCTTGACTGACTTTCTGGTAAGGTTAAAGTGAACTCATGTGTTCATGACCAAAGACAGCCCAGTCAGCTCAGTTAAAAATAACACCAGAGACTGCTCATCTGGTGAAATGCTTGCCATGAAGACTCGTGCAGTTCATACCCCCAGAACCCATGTAAAAGTCAGGTAGGTGTGGGCACCCATCTGTAATCTCAGCATAGCAAGCAGAAATGGCATTGCTGGCACAAGATAGCTGGCTAGAAAATCTAGAACTGGCAAGTCCTGGGCTCATATAAGCGAACCCACTTCCACGTGTAAGGTGGAGAGCTACTGGGGAAAACACCAAAGTCAACTTCAAGGTTCCACCTGCATTCACACATGTCCGTACACAGATGAGCATCCACACAGGTGAACACACATACCCACATACATATATATCAGAAGACAAAAAGTAACATCTCGCTTAGGAGCACCTCTACCCACTGTCTGAGATAAACAGCCATTACTCAGGCTCCACTGCCTTTCAGTACTGAATAGGCCACTAGCTGGGATGGGAAGCAGACTGCCACAGAGCTATCCCCTTCTGCCCCAAGGCTGCCCCCTCCTCAGCTATGCCCCACTATTTAAATGTTTGAAGTGTAGCATGGAATTGGTTTAATTTCAGTGTCCCAATTAAAAAAGGTCTGGAGGAGGAAGGAAGCACTGATCAGTTGTTTTGAAAACCAAATGTGATTGATCTGAAAGTTCTGTTTTTTTTTTTTTTTTTTTAAGATTTTGAGTTGAGGAGCCATTGTACACCATGGTGCTGAATCACTGCAGGCTACTTTCTAAAAAAAAAAAAAAAAAAAAAAAAATTTAATTGCCCACTGTTTTCAACAGGCACCAATTAAGATTCCAGGGTCAAAGGGTTAATTACATCTTCTTACCCACTATGTAGAATTTTCTGATTATTGACAAAGGTTGGATTAAGATGAAAAAGAACCTACACAAATGTTAACACTCATCCTTCCCTGGAAAGATCTGCCTCAAAGCCAGGCTGAAATCTAGCTGCTTTCCTTAAGGCAGACCAGAGAACTCCACCTTAGGAGCAACAGTAAAAATGGCATCTTAAAGATATGCAAGACCCTGATTTATCAAGACAGTTTTCTTATTGCTGAAAACAGTTCCTGGCCATGCAGACCGGGCTGATAGGAGATTCTTTTGTCACATTCCAGGGCATCTGTGAGGCAGACAACCAGGAGTGAGGTGAGGAAGCAGAAGTCAGAGGCGACACTGTCTTGGAATAATAGTGCCTGTAATTATAATTTCTATCCCCCGACATCGCACAATGCAGACAGTGTATGGCACTGTTTCCTAACCCCCAAAGCTGGATATGCCTCGCAGTGTTTATCAAGTGATGAGGTTAGTTCCTTACAGTGTAGGGAACTAACTGCAGCTTCGCGATGGAGGGCTACTAATGTTTAATGCATTGTGCTAAACGGATTTATATTTGTCAGAGTTTTGTCTCTGTTTTGCTTTTAAGGCGCATTCCACCACAGCCAGATTTCTCAGAGTGAAATCTTACTAGGATACCATCACAGGGGCAATTCACATGTCTATTACCACCGTGAAATTAGTGTCTCCTTTTTCCACATGCCAGTACTGAAGGGGAAAAATTCAACCTGCACTACGTTTGTATGACCTGACTCCAGTTAGAGAAGACTTCCCCATAAGCCGGGGTATTTTAATGACAGATTATT